GATGGGATTGAGTGGAGATGAGAAAGTGGGGAGCAGGTGGTAGGAGAATCCCAAAGGCTATTGTGAGAGTTGTCTGTATAACCTACCTGCTGGCTGGCAGTCTCACTTCATGTTGAAGCAAATCACAGCACACTTTAGGAGGAAAACTCAAGAACTGAAGAAGTCATTTGGCCCATATCTTGACCCTTCAGGCAGTTTGGGTTTGTCTACGGTGTCTGTTATATTGCTGTTATGAGCAACCTGAGTCAAGGACCCAGAATGAATAATCTCCTCCTTAGCAGGGAGTGGTTGATAACAGTTCACTTCATTGTTCACGTACAGTGACTGCAATGACATCATATATGAAGGGAACCTGCAAGGATGGGAAAGCCTCCAGCCAAGCTTTACATGGGGATATCTAGTGCAAAAAAGGCAGTGCTAAATCCCCACTATAAAAGTGATGACTTGGAGAAAGGGAACTTCAGCTAATGTTTAGCTGAAGCTAAATACGAGTGGCAGCAAATTCAGCTGACCTCTCCTCACACTGTTTCCAAGAGCAGTCAGAGAAGGTGACCTTGTTCTTCCCTCTTTAAAGTAGATAAACAGAAAACCTCCCTGCCCCACTAAGACGTCTGTAGCTATAGAGATGCCTTTGGATCATGGCAAAGATGATATTTCCAGATTTTTCTTTGAACTTTTCATCTTTGATGGCCTCCTCTCCTAAAATCCTAAAATAATTCAGGTTTGACCAGCACCTCTGGAGCCCTGTAGTCAAACCTCTCTCTCAAAAGCAGGTGCTTAGATTAGGTAGCTCAAGAACTTGCCCTTCTATTTGAAAGTTACCAAGGATTGAGACTATCCAACTTTCCTAGTCAACCTGTTCAAACATCTGATTATCTTCATGTGATAAATTTTTAAAAAATTTGTTTGGCATTTTTCTTTTTTTAACCACTTTACACCCACTATACAATTTATTCTCTCATAAACTGACGTCACTGATTAGTGACTTCAAATCTGAAGCTACCACAGTAGTAGTCTTTAAATTACATTATAAATATTCAATCTCTAAAGATGTTTGTGATTTCTAGGAGAGCTCCATGCCTCACTTCACATACTGTAGTTCTCCCAACAGGGTTATGTCTGATGTAAAAATTACTGTGCACATAAGAAAATATCTTTTTTCTTGTCCCATCTCTAAAACCAGAATCAGCTTCATTTGCCAGTTTTCTGTCATTCTATGCCTTTTCGAAATCCTGATAAATTAACATGTAGCATTGCCAACTATTCACTATAGAAATAATCCATGTCTAATGAAAAAGGTAGTGTACTTTTATGTTTTCAACTAAAGGATAGGGTGTTGGAAGTTAATTTCTGCAGTGGAGGCTGCAAGGGTCTGAGCATATCCCCTATGCTCATCCTGGGCCCATTTTCTGGAAAGAACATATCATTAAGAGAAAAGGAAAATATAATTAAACCATACAACTGCTAAGAGTTAATTTCTTCTATTTATCTCAATGTCCTTTATGAGTGTTGGGCAATCTCATTAATTTCATTGTATAAAAGGGCAGGATAGGCTGATATAATCTATCAAACCCTTGCAAATAAAGAGTAAATGTAAGATTACTTTACCCATCTCAGCCCTGTGTTCTCCACATTAGGCTATACCAACATCCTTAATTTTTAACAGCAGAGAAATATTATCAGAGAGAGAACAAACCACGTGGGATACAACGTGTGAACTAAGGGCATGGTCTGATGATCATTTCTGATCATCTTCTGTGTCCCTTTTCCATAAAAATAGGGATGAACCCTGACTCGGAGCAATAAGTGGCTTTATTTTGTAGTGTGCTAATTTGCAGTTTGAGCATGTCGAAGCGCTGCCATAAGTGTCAGAATAAAATGTCGATGTCTTAGTAGAAACAAATAAAAGCCATGCTAATTAGTGCACATTTGACCACCCCTTAACAAGAGACACCACAACACCTCCCATGAACTGGCTCAGGGAAGATATTCCTATATGAACATATTCTATTTGGTTGCCAAAATTCAGCTATGTCAAGAGCTCCAACATCTTGAGACGCAGCATTAATAAAATTGTTCAACTACACCACCTGTTTCTTGTCTTTATCAACCCCCTACTTGTAGTAACAGGTCTTTGAACCTCAGGATCTTTGAGGACATGGCACCAGCAAAACAATAGCCTTGATTCTGTAGATGCCTTACAGTGATTACCTGGTGTTTATTATGGAAGCTCACTGTGCTCAGTGAGCAACCAAAGATTATTTTTCTTCCAAAGGCCAGACTTACATGGAATTCTTTAATTAAATGCACTGTAGAAATGTCAGCCTTTACCCCTCTGTATATATAGCATCCTTTGTCCTTCACATAATGATTTTAGAGTGTTCTGCAGACATCATCTGATAGAATAATAAGGTATTATTATTGAATCTTTGTATCTCCTATTGTCCCAGGAGCACTGACCTTGCTTCCCCAATGCAGAAGTCTGTCTGCCAGGCTAATCACACTGATATTTGAGTACCTCAGAGGAGATCCTTAAGTGTCAACGTTTCTGCAGGAACTCAAAACTGACCAGACATACTGATAAGATCCATTTATTACTCTTGTGTATGTCTGCCAGGTTATAAACTAATTCCAGTTTCAAATGTAAATCCCCAACCCGGTGATATGGAGAGAGATGCATGGTTAAGTAAGTCAAATTCTCCCCAATTGTCAAGGTTCTCCATACAGGTAGCAGTGGATGTGATTTACTAGCAAATAGTAACCATAGGGAACTAAGATGAATGAATCCCCCATCCACTCTTTTCCAGCAGATACGTAGTCCTGACAAATGCCCTTGAACTACTCAATCACTATGGGAATAACCCTTCATTTATGTCCTTCACTTTCCTTTGCCAGCACAATGCATTAATGCTGTATCTTTTAGCCATGGACAAACAGACATTAGCACACTTTCGTTTAAATTTTTTTCTTCCTTGACTTGATATGTTTTATAGAAATATCCATAAATATCCATGCACACAGCAGGGTATATGCAATACATCTGACAGGGAATGGTTACCTCCAGCACAGTACCACTTTTTAATATAATCTTGGCTTGTCTCCATAGCTGTCAAAAAGTCTAGGTTAGGTTGATAGGTCTCTTAAAAAGTATAGTTTGTGGCAATTGAATTATTATTCTTCTTTTTAAGAAAGTCCTGATACTTATGAGGGCTTTTTCTTCCATGAATAAGATATTTTGATAGATGCTGAACAAATTATGATACAAAAGCTCCTATCTGGAGATATGCAGATACTTCATGGCAGTATCAGCATCCTTTGCATATCTGCACATCTGAGAAAATGTCCAATGCTTTCATTTTCCAGTAGTTTTTCACTTATTTTCTTTTCTGAAAGGAAATCTGAGTGCTCTATTATTGCCTCACCATGCTTTTCATTTTTTCTGAAAAACCTTGTTTTCTCCCTCTAACACAGTAAGGAAGCCTAGGCTATAGTTTCTTTTATTGCAATACCTCTAGGAATCTCCAAAAGAAAAAGAGCCTTGATATAATGACACTGTTGTTATACCAATCTCTACCAAATCAGTCAGCTACAGTTAGAAATCTAAATATTCCTTTAAATGTATTTATTTTAATAAAGAGATATCAAGAACAATCTGCCTGTCACTGGTACAATGTGTATTTTCAAGAACTTGCCCAAAGCAGCAAGAATTCAGGCTAGTTTCATTACTATATAAACACAATAATCTGAAACATGTTTTTAGCCTGGAATGACGGAAGAAAACAAGCATGTGCTTGTTGCTCAAAACCAAAGGAGAATCAGTACATTCTTGAAACATAAAGCTATACTTTGAACTCTATTTGAGTAAAGACATTCTCCCGTGATGGATTTCAAAACCAGAAATGTCATAGGACTCTTAGCCCCGTCCTTACAAGTCAAGCCACTACAGATCTTGTTGATTTGTTTCTGTACTTTGAAGTACAGTGTTCCTGTACAGTTTCTACAAGTTGTAGAAACGAACTCAATCGTGTTTCTAAATCTTTATGCATGACTATTTAAAGTCTTGGTGTATGTAGCACTACAAGAGCATTTCAAATTTCTATTGGTTTTCTTTTATTCTCTTTGAAATAATTTGGTGTGGACACTCATTTGTAAAACAGGGGTACAGCATTCTGCAGCTGACAAGTTCTATTTATTAATTGTTACACACAAATATTGTTTTATGGGGGATAATACACTTATAAAAGAGATCTTATGCAGCATCATTAGATGAGTCAGAAGTACTAGACCCACATGATATTGTAAAATCAGTGGTGGTTACTCTCATTCAGCAAAAGTGTTGGTGGCATTCAAGATAAGTTGAAAGTCAACATACATTTTATTTGTTGTGCAAAAAAAGAACCATTATCTTTACTAGTACTGGGAGTGTGCAAGAGTAAAAAGCTGAGTGTTGGTAGGTATGTGGTGAGTTGGAAATGCTGGTAAAACACAGAGAATGGATGTTCTGTAGTAAGGAATAAATTATGCTAGGTAGTATATGAGCTGCCATGAAATTATATTTAGGCTATTTCTTATACTTCAAATGAACTTCCAGACCAGCACATTAACACTGACAATATCATTTATTTAAGTTTCAGGAACCCGGGACCATTTCTCATCTTGATTCAATCACTTTGGTTAAACCTCTTGTTAACAATACAGAAAAAAAATGGATTTTCCAAGTGATCCCTATTTATTAGACAATAAATTTAAAATTACACTACAAATATAATTTCATGGTTTTTGCTCTTTTCATTTCTTTAACAAAAAACAAGGATGGAGACAAATAACGATGCTTAAATTATCACAAGGAAAAGCTTGATTTATCAACTCCACTTAATTATAAACACGCATCAAAAGAGAATTATAAATGTCTAAATACCACACTCATGATAGATTAGGTGTTTTACTTCTTTCTCTCATCTATACAAATAAATCTAAAAAAACAATGATAGTGTACTTACATATTTCAGATCCTCATCTGTCTAAGAATAGAAAGCACTCAAGTCATGTGTCAGAATAACTCGTGTGGTCTCTTCTCAATCCCCTTTTTTTGTTCACCATCCATAAAAATCAGTGCGCCACTGCAATGGTCCAGCCATTCTCACTACAGAAAAGGAGCCAGGTGTTGAGTGTCAGATAAGACTGGCATGGATTTGTAAAGGTTGTTTGCATTGCAGCTGTCAGGACTGTACATGAAGGATCCCTTGTAAGTTCCAAGACCCAGATTCCCTTTACCTACCAAAGTACCTACACATCAGAAGCCAGGCTACCATCACATCAAACAGTAACTGGTACCTGTCTTTATATCTGTATTGATATGGACAAGTGGATGTCTACCTTCATAAATACAGGACAGCGATGCCCATGCTGCCTTCCTTAGGAACAGAGTTATAGCATGTTCCAGACTCGTTCCTACCCAATATACACAGGACATGCCACCATCCACTGGTGTCTTCACACATCAGATTTGGTCTCAAGTGCTGGATAGGGAGTACACTGAATGTGAGGTGTTTCAAGCTGAATGGAATGAAACTGGACCTAAGTTAGTATGTACACATATTTAAACCTGGAGAAAGAGAAAATATGTTTTTCATGAGACAAACCTCCTAACTACAATTTTTCCCCTTTTTTACTGTATTTCATGCTTAATGCTTATAATAAAGCATATTTACTTTTTTAAAGATAACACTAAAATGTTGTAGCTTTTACAGACTTATATTGGTCTTTTTGAAGAAATTTAGGAGATATGGTCCTGTGTCTGACACCTGGATAAGTACAATTGTTTCAACATGCATCAACAAAATTACTCTCTCTGTCCCATAATGCATATTGTTTAGACATTTTAACTTAGTAATGTCCTGAGCATTTCTTTTTTAGCAGCTCTATATTTAATGGGGACTTGAAGACAACTCTCAATTTTAGAGGCACTTAAATCTATATATAAGTTTACTGTGAGACATATTGGGTAATGTCACTCAGTTTAGTGACAACACTCACTGTATAATATGTGGCACAGCAGTAAAAATGAGCTAGTGTATGATCTTGCTAAAGGCCAGCAGTTTCTGATAGGTCACAGTTAGCATGCCCCTCAGTGTTATCAAAAAATAGCTTGAAAATTTGTGACTGCAGATGTAAGATGCAGTCCAGCTCAGCTGTCCACATAAAACTGTCCAGTGTCACTAGAGATGCCCTAGTTAGTCTGATTGTCCTTCATCAGCTGTCCAGAAAGACATGGACTTCTTGCAAATCCTGCATCTTCTCTGCCAGTCTCTTAAATAACTTTGGGCATCTCAAATGGCTCTGTGCATCCCAAATGTCTCTAAGTTTATTTTAAAACTAAATTGTGCACTAAATAGAAGTTATACATTGACAACGGGACTCTGTGATCCCCCACCTCACTATTGCTACTCCCCATGTGTAATGCCAGCGGATCACCCCTTTCCACAAGTACTGCTTCAGGGAATGGGTTGCATAACAAGATCCCAATATTTTTGTATTGCATGCTATTTATGCACATGCATGCATGCATGCTGTATCAGGGCTCACATTTTTTTATTCTTTAATTAATATTGCCATTTTGTAAAAATTAAAGCAATGGGAATCCCAAAGAGCTGTTATGTTTTGATTGTTAGGAGCTGACATAAATGGATTCCAGTAGAGATAATGCTGTAAATGTTGATCATGTTACAAGTTGGCCCACCTACTGTCACATCAGGAAAAAGAGGTTTAAATAAAAAACTCTTATTTTTAACTGAGTTAATATTAGAAGTGAAGGAGGAGACATTCAGCTGGGATAAACAGTAGCTTTGCTGATGTAAGTGGCACAATGTTGATTTACAGTAGTGAAACAACTATCAGAAACAGTATATCTTTTCTCCACCTAGAGCTCTATAAATGTATTTATAATATAATTTCAATAAGGAAAAGGAAAATCAGAACACAGAAAAGTTGAGATTATTCGAAGGTATCTGGGGAGTCCTGACAAACTTCTATGAGCAAATGAATGGAAATATAAAACGTGTCCTAGCTCACTAAACCGATTCAAATCCCTGAGCTGAAATCTGCATGTTAAATAACTACATGTTTTGTTTACAATGAGCAGTATATTCCAGACATAATTAAAATAAAGAAAATTGTTATTGGATACCTCTTGATGATAAAAAAACCCAAACAAAGTGCTCAAGCCTCCAAGGTATTAAATAAAAGTCTTTTTTATACTGTACACATTCATTTATGTGTTCTTCTTGAAGTTGCAGTTCCTAGAGTACTGTAAGTTAGATTATTATTAAAAATAAGAGCAAGACCATCAGATTTTGTTACTAAATTGGAAATAGGAGTTCTGGTTTGGAATTAAAAATAAAGGGAACAAAAATGGTCTAATATTTAAAACTCACAATTCTAAATACCTTAATTTATCTTGGGTTTTAAATATTCTAGAGTTGAGCATTAATTTTGGGTGTCTACTCAATAGCACTTGGACTTTGTAATAAAATATAAACAACATTAGGAGACTCTAATAAGTTTAACCCAGGAGGAACCTTACTTCTCCAAAAATCCAACTAAAGGAGCCAAAGTTGTGTTTTCTTTTTAAATTACTTTCTCTGTCTTTAGCTGAGGTGTTTAAAGACTCTATAATGAAGCATAGCACAGAGCACAGCACAGGAGGACTGAGACTGTGGGCTTTAGGGAGATTTAGGGCTGCAGAGCGGCTTGCTTTTTGTTATATTAACCTGCCCAGGAAATCAATTCCCTCCATAGTCCCCATGCCCAATCCCCATAAGTGGAGACATATGGCAGTTTTGTGATACAGAGAACACACTGTGGTAGTTTTATTGATATTGGGACTGCTTTTTAGCCAGTATAAGTCTTCTCCACTCAGCTATGAATTGATCCCATTGACTCTTGGCAAAGGGAGAACAGCCATACAGGTTAATGCTGCCCTTGCAGTCAGATTCCTTCTCTGAAGGTGCCTCTCTTCACTGACTCCAGGGAGACTTGATGATTAAATTTAGGCTATAGTTAACTTTTGGGCCTCTGCCGATTCAATGGGATCAATTTGTAATGGTGTGCTTTTCTCTTTGTTCATAATTTTCAGACGTGAGTCTATTGATAGAAAACCATCAGAAATAGCAATGAGAGTGGTGCAAGTTATGCATGGCCATCGCTGTCTTATCATTTGGTCAATGATAACGTCAAGGTGAGCAGAATTTCTTCCTACCTCCCTCCCTCTTCTGCCTGTCCATTATCTATCTGAGGACAGTATTCATTAAAAAATTTCAAAACCCGGATCCCAACATTTCATGTTAAATTAAGATGAAATTATTAATGAACGTGAATTACCCTGAGTGGGAGAGAGCTGTGGTGCATCTTGCAAGGACCTTGCAAAAGAGGTTTTAGCTCAGATTCTTGGCTAAAGGACAAAAGGCGTTGGCCATGTGGCTCAACTCTGCGCGCACACAGACACACGGAGATTGTTTCACATTTTCTGCTTCCCTCCTCAGATTTCTCTCTTCCAGCCATCAGCTTCTCTGCTAACCTTGAAACTGCTAGGGAATTCATTCTGTGGCTTGTGTTTCCTCCAAAGTAGAACTGCAGGACCTCAGTTCCTCCCTAGAAATTATGTCTCCTGGAGTCATTATTCCCTCTCAGCTTCAGACCACTTCCTGCAATTTCAGAGCCACTGAAAACAGCAGTTTCAAATGAGCTGTTAACCCATGAAGGCTAAGCCAGCCTGGATTCACTAGCATTCCTTTGATGCATTTTCTTTTCTCTTTTATTTTCTCCTATCCCTGAACTTTGGTTGAATTAGAAACAAAAAGATTCCTCCTCAGACAAGTTTTGGCCCATTTTTGCAGACCTTATCATCCCCTGAACACTGTTTGCTTTTCAGCTCCAGTTTTCTGCTGCAGAGTACTATTTACCAAATCTATCTTTCTTGAAAAATTCTGATGACCTGTAAAAGCTGAAATGTTAACTATCGAAACCCTTGGGTGTATCCACAAATGGTTATGTAAGGCTGGAGGCACAATGCCAGACTATCAGACGACAGACCCATTTATCATCAGTAGGAACAGGCACATTAATTGGCTACAATACCAGTACCGTCCTTCAGCATTAACAAAACTCTTCTTGATCCTCAATGTAACCCCAGAACATCCTTTATTAAATAAGATAAATAATACTCAGGTCAAGGGTCGCACTGCTTCATCTAAGAAGGCTCAATTATTTATGAATACGTCCCTGACTAAGGATGCCTTTGCCTTGCAAAGAGAGCTTTTTGGTCTACTGACTAAATGTTACTATTCTACACATACACATCTTCTCTATAAAAGAACCAACAAAAGAGAAACAGAAATGCATGAGTCCCGTAAACTTTCTGGACTGGGGGAGGGGGGTTGAACACTGGGACAGGTTGACCAAGAGGCTGTGGAGTCTCCAGCCGTGGCAATCTGGCTGGATACAATCCTGGTTTCTTGTACCTGACCTGTCTTTTAGCAATGCGTGTTGGACTAGATGATCTCCAAGGTCCCTTCCAGCCTCTGTGATATTCTGTAGTTCTGAGTCCATAAGATGAAGTCACACAAGTGGATTCCCAGGTTTCTGTTGCTGGCTCTTCCACGTGCTCACGCAAAAGCCAAAATACTCATAATTGACCCCTGTTTCCAACTGTTTCACCATGCCAAGACTCTCACTTTAAGAGCCCTTGATGCCAATTTTTTTTGTATACTCACAAAGCCTGTGAAAAAGTAACCAGTGGCCATTGTTTAATATTGTACCTGCAGAATTCCCTGTAGTTAAATGAACTTGTCTGCAAAATGGGAACTGTTTGACCCCCATATTGCAAAATACCATGTATGATTCCAGGCACACTGGGTCATATTTTTCACCATGGTTAGTCCAGAAGCAGTGAAACAGAACAATACCTCTGCATCAGGATGGAGAAAGTAAAACACTGATAATTTTACTGCAGTATTGATCACACATTACAAGTAACAGAAGCACAGTGTTTCTTTCAATGGTGGCTTTCACCTACTTTTACTTGAGTTGCTATAAGTGGTTCTGTGACTCATTTAATGGAAGGAAGAGCTCAAAAGTAATACTTTA